CCGGGTAGTGCGTTTGTCTTGCACGTAACTGACCCAGGTTCGTTTCTCAGCATCCCGTGGGGTCCCCTGAGCATTGCCAGGAGTGATTCCTGAGTGCAGAGCTAGGAGGAACCCCTGAGCATTGTCAGGTGTCATCCAAAAAGAAAAAAATAAGTTAATGAGGTATCTGCATAAGCCAATGATCTGTTGGCATAAGGAAAAAATGCCCAATTACCTTCTGGCAAAGTTAACTGCTGAGGACCTTTAATTCCTTAAATGCCATCAAGAGATATATGGCCTTGGGCAATTTCCCCTGATATAATCCCAAAGATTTTTATCAAACTTCTTCAATGGATGAACATAGAGAGTCTCATGCTGCGTGGAAAGAGTCAGAGGGAGAGTTACAGATGTCAAAGGGCTGCACCCATTTGTGGGATGTAAATACCAGAGTGTGAGAATAATACCCAAAGGTGGTGGGAACAAAAGGGTCAGGAGGCCTGGTTCAAGGTTGGAAGTTCCCCACAGGTGATGGTGGGGAGAAGGCAGTTGGGATAGAGAAGGGACCACTGTGACAACGAGAGTTGGAAATGACCACACTGGACAAGAACTGCATGTTGAAAGTCGGTAAAGGGACACACATGATAACTTGTTAGTACCTGTCAGGTATGGGTGAAAGCAAAAAAAAAATTGAGATCTTTCACTTGGGAAAATTACCTTCCTACGAGCAGTATCAGGCTGATAAAAGGAGTTGGGTATACTTTACACATCTTTATAAATTTCCCACTGGTGGTGATGGGGCTCACTAATGCTTTAGAACAGAACCATAAACTTTAACACTACTGTAACCACATCCCTGAAAATATTTAAAGAACGAGAATCTGATTTGAATTTTCTTTTGGTAAGTACACTCTCTCCTTTCCATTACACCTTATGCTTGATTTAATTTTTTGTCTGGGGGTCAAATTTGATGGTACCCAGAATTCACTCCAGGCTCTGTGCTCAGGGATCATTTCTGGCCCCAGGAATCAAATGACGTGCTGGGTATTATTCCAGGGTCAACCATGTGAAGGCACCTCTCGGGGCCCATTAAGTATATTAGTATTTAAATAATGACAAGACACAAACACCCAAATTATCTAAACCAAAAATTTCCTTGTGGACCAAAAAATAAATGATAGAATTCGATGCCCATTTGATGATGACTATCATTCACGTCCACGGTACTAGCTAAGTCTATTAAGGTCTTCAGTATATGATGACCACTTTTCACAATGATTTAAAAGCATTTGAGGAATGAAAGTCTCTCCCAAGTTGAATGAGTCAATGTTACTTTGATTCACACAAGCACCTGTTGTAAAGTGGTTATAAAGTCTCTCCATCTCTTCATCTGTAGCTTGATTTACCTTCAAAGCAAAACCAGGATCCTTGCGATCACAAACACCTGTCTTTCTAAGGCAGCTCTTATTGAATGCAGCTAGGATATTTGTGGGGATTTGCACGCATCCATTGTTCTATATGCAATGGAACAGCCTTCCAAAATGCACAGGTTGTTTGTGTGTCCATATCAGATCATCTCTCAGAGTGTCCCTCGTGGCCTTGTCACCACACAAGAACAATGACACATGGTTCATGCAATGAAAGTTCAAGTAAAGCAAATATCCGCGTGCTCACTTCCCTCCTACTGTGGAGAGAGGTACTTGGTGGTTGGACTGGCGTTTGGATATGATCTGCAATAAAAGATCGTGAGACACTTCATGAAAATGAAATATAAAATAATTTCAAAAATAAGAGAGGAAATTATACGCAAAAGCAAATGTTGTAATACCCCAAAGGAGAGAGTAGGAGGGAATATGCCTGCCACAGAGGCAGTGAGGATGGGTGCGATAGAAAGGGGTTGGTGTGGTGGGAGGGACACTGGGAAAGTTGTTGGTGGAGAATGGGCACTGGTGGAGGGGTGGGTCCTTGAAAATGGTATGACTGAAACCTAATCGCCAAACTTTGTAAGTCTGTAACTGAATCTGATGGTGATTCATTAAAAAAATGGAAAAAGATAATCCGTGTGCTACCGTTTTGCCTGTGCATTCGTGAGTAGCTTCTGTACAAGAATTATAGATGTTGTCAAAGTGTGTAGACCTCCGTAGGTCATTCCTCAGGTACCTAAGGACTCGGATAAAATTTGTTTTCTCACTTTATTCCCACGATATTCTCTTCGGTCTAAATCACTGTGTTTTCTTTTGTCGTTCTGAAAGCCCCATTCACCTGGCTTTGACGAGAGACGTCAGAAGGTAAAGAATGAGAAGGTCCATGCTCTATTGGAGCAGTTCCCTAGGGGATGGAGGGTCGGCTGTTCATCAGATTTGTTGTATGGAAAATAATTACTGTGTCTTCAAAACAAAAATCTCCCGGCAACATTCTCTGAAATACACAATGATATTGGGGGACTACTTCCGAAGAGACACCTACAACCTCATGGAAATTGTTTCAGTAGAATCAATTCTCAGGCTAGGTTGGGATAATAATTACAGTCTCACTGGGGTAGTGAATCGTAGATATTTGTGTGTTTGCCTGTGTTTGTGTGTCTCAGTGTGTCTGTGTGTGTGTCGCAAGCTGGACATAATTTTCCTTTTTTTTTAATTAAATTTTTTAATTGAATCGTCAAGAGATACAGTGACAAAGCTCTAGCAATCAGGTTTCAGTCATTCAGTGTCCGAATACTCATCCCTCCAACACTGTACGTTTCCACCACCAGTATTCCTCTTGAAATAACTCTCCTTCCCACCATCGCCTCTATGGCAGGCACTTATTCTCTCCTCTGATGGGTATTGGGTAAATGATTTTTGCCATTCCACTGGCTGTCTCTGTATCGTGGTCACCACTTCTCTTGAGGTACAGAAACATCTTACCTAATGTAGTCTCATATATCTTTGCTTCTGCTTGCTTGGTAAATGGTGTTTCATCTTTATAGATGCCTTTAGGACCAAACATGATGGCCTCTCAGCATCTCTATTGCAAACCATAATGCCTAAAACTAGAGAGAGACTAAGAGGGAAATTCTCTGCAATACAGGCAGAAGTTGCAATAGGCTGAGGGGCAATACTGGGGACAATGGTGGTGGAGAATGTGCCCTGGTGGAGGGATGGGAGTTTGCTCATTGGAGGACTGAAACTCAAACATGAAAGCTTTGTAACTGTATCTCACCGTGATTCAAAAAAGAATAAAATTTAAACAACAACAACAACAACAAAATAATGATGGGTTTAGCTTCAATGTCATGGAGGGTTGTTCTTCATGGACCTTATGGATTCAGGTCTGGTATTGAGGTCTTTAATCGATTTTGAAATGACTTTTCTGGCTGGCATTAGACAGCCAGAGGTATTATCTTTGAGTGGTCCAGTTTTCCCAGCTACATTTCTTGAAGAGGCTTTCCTTGCTCCACTTTACATTTCTTACTCGTTTGTTAAAGATTAAGCTATCATATATTTGAGCGTCTGTTTCAGGATATTCAAAGCTATTATCTTGGTCTGCGGGTCTGTCTTTATTACAGTACCATGCTGGTTTAGTTACTAATGCTTTGTATTACAGTTTGAAGTTAGGGAAGAGAGTGATTCCAAATTTTTTTGCCCCAAGGTTACAGTTCCATATAAATTTCAGGAGTGTCTAGTCTATTTGTTTGAAAAATGTCATGAGTACGCTTAGAGGGACCACATTGAATCTGTAAAATATTTGGGGGAGTATTGCCATTTTTAATATGCTATTCTTTTGATTCATTAGTAGGGGATGTGTCTCCATTTCCTCATGTCCTCTTTCCTTTCCTGCATGAGAGTTTTGTAGTGTTTACCTTGTACAGTGGCCCATGAAGTCTTTGTTCAAGTCGATGCATGTTATTTTAGTTGGAAAACAGGTTGATATCTTTTGAAAATGACATCCTCGAAAATATAGCGCTGCCAACAGGTCAACGTGTACCTGCAGGCCAAGTGCGTCAGCAGCCTGGTGGTGCCTTCAGCCTTCCTGTCACTATCACGATCAGCCTGTTGTTCGTTGGCTGTCTCCGACAAGCACCAGTAGTGTCTCCTTCGTGCTAGCGCTGACATTCTAAAAAGTGACATATTCAGGGTCTTTCGGGGTTAGGAGAACGAGACTTCCTGACATCCCAAGATTGCCACTGTGCCTTTGGCCAGATCCCAACAACTTGGGACCAAGTTTTTTATCAAGACATTAAATGGCCAATAGTTAGATTTGTGGGAGCCATTCCCACATCAGTGCAGAGGAAATTGTCCGGATCCTCCTATTCAAGGAGGTATTTGTGCGTTTTACAAATAAGAGTCTTTGCATCAAACACAGCTTTGTGCATAGAATGATCATTTTATTGATTTAGGCATCCAATGTGATACAGCAACGTGAGTGAAAGGAAAGAAGAGGAAACCATGGGCTGAGCTCATGAAGATAGTAGGAAATAAGGAATTACATTTGGATTCCTGATCTGGTATCGGAGATGCTGCTGCTTTTGTAGAGGTCAGCGGGATGGGGAGAGGTCTACAAACATCAAAACATTAAAAAGAAATTTTAGTTGGTTCCAAGGCATCCGTTGCGGTAAACACTTTCAGGAGGAGGGAGCAGTTATAAATATAATCTGAAAGAGAATTTTTTTGCTTATTGGGTCACACCCAGCGATGCTCATGGGTGACTCCTAGCTTGTGCACTCAAGAATTCCTGCTGGTCGTGCCAGGGCACCCTATGGGAAGTTGTGAATTGACCCCAGCTTGGCCACGGACAAGGCAAATGCCCTACCCACTATGCTATCACTCCAGCCCCTGTAAAGGAAATTTTCGTGCAGAATTTGTTGGATGAAGCTTAATCTGAGAAATTCAGGGTAAGAAAGCCACTGCTGTAATATGTGTGGTCGTGGACGATCTTCTACGAGATCTTACATCAAGGAGGTAAGACAGACACCCCTCCCAAAGACACCCTAACCTGTTCAAATATCAGGAGACACCTGATTATCACTCACCCAACAGATGTCCTTAATGAGGGCAGGTATCTGTGGAAGAGAATTAAGAGACGGTTCAAAAGGATAGCTGATACTTTCAATATTTCTAAGCGCATCATTCATCAAAGAATTTTTTTCCCCAGAACCCAGGTGTCCAAAGGACACTAGAACAAGAAACTTTCTTGAAGAAAACTTCCTGATGGCCACCCTTATACCCGAGAAGAGCAAATAGTGAATTTACCTGCTGATTCGACATTCACGATGTTTTCTTTGTCAATACCTTGTTGCTTTACCAACTGTCTGTACACTTTGCGATCTGCTTCATTGAATTTGTGGCCAGGCCTTACTGCAATTGGCAGAGAAGAAGGAAAAAAGACAGTCATCCCAATGCATCCTACTACTTAGAATGGGCTATAGGCACCCTATGCAGAAGGAGAGATTTTCCCGTCTTCCCAGGATACACCTGTTATCGAATACAACATCCCTCCCTCCTGGTACCCCTCCTGTGGTCTCCCAACAGGTGAGTCATTGCTGACAGAGATCTCAGAAGGATGCTAAGTGAGTACATCAGCGCTTCACAGGTCCCTGGAGCAAATCCTGTGGTATTTCACAATTCTACCCGAAGACGCCCTGAAAATATCAGGTCCTGATCCTTCCTTACTCCATTTTTGACCAGGTTGCTCATACCTCTAAAAGACCGAACACATTCATACTCTAGGCTGTCCTTGTGCAGTTTTGCAGCTAAAAGGTATGTCACCGATTTTATTTGTTCTTTTTTGCCCTCCTGCAAATGCTTTGCTATCCAAGTCCTAAACTATTTTTGATAAGGGGCGTATTCCAATCTTAAGGTTTTGGTTGGGGGTAGGAGGATTGGTTGGATTTCCCATAAGAGCACTCTAGCACTGTTCTCTCATTGTTCATCGATTTACTCAAGCGGACACCAGTCACGTTTCCAGTGTGACACTTGTTGTGACTGTTTTGGCCATATATCGAATATGCCACCGGGTGCTTGCCAGGCTCTGCCAAGAGAGCGAGATCCTCTCAGTAACTTCCTGGGCTCTTCAGAGGGATGGATGAATCGAACCTGAGTCAGCCACGTGCAAGGCAAACGCCCTACCCACTGTGCTTGGTAGGGATAAATACATCATAACTCAAGGATGTGTTCGCTTGCTGAAATCAAAACTTGATTTACCCGGATGTGAGATAAGTTGGACCGGAGAGTGCATTCTGGGCTCCTATAGCAGAAACTCCAGGTCTCCAGAATTTTGGGACTGATTTTGTTTTCTCAACTCAATGCATGTGTGTATTGTTTCCTTAAGTAAAGCCTACATGTCAAACATTCACTTATTCTGATCATTGTATAATTGAAACCCAAGCACAGAAATTTGTAAGTCTGCGACTGTACCTCATGATGTCTCAATAATAGAAAAATTATTTAAAAAAAGAATTAGAAGCATACCGGCAGCATCTACCAGATGTGTGACCAGTCCATTTACATCGGTGTTCTGGATGCAGATGACCAACAGGTTCTCGGATTGATGGCAAAACCTGAAGAAATTGTGTCCTGAGACTGTGGAAGAGAAGAAGAAGAAAATCAGAAGTCAGGAAGAGTCAAGTATTTTCTTATTTATCTTCTTGTGATGGAAGGAGCAGGGACCGTGTGTGTGGGTTCAATGATCGAACATCTTTAATAGCTTCAAGAATGAAAATATTGGGTTCATCAAAAGTTCTCGGAGTGGGAAGGTCGAAAAATCTGTTGGAAAGCAGAGGAGAAAGGAAAAGGAATTCCCGTGGATAGGACTCACTTAACTAAGGCTCTTTTGGTGTGGTTTTAACAGGAAAGCGCAATCTTTGTTATGGAGAATGAGGCTAAGTTAAAGATCAAGGATGGTTGTGTGGGAATGTTGAAAGGGAAATTGGGCTCTTTCATTTTTCTTTTTTTTTGTGGGGGGATCACTCCCAGTGATCGGGTGATGGTCAGGAGTTAGTTACTACTGGCTCTGCACTATGGAATGTCTCCTGGCGGTACTCTAGGGACCCTATGGGATGCTGGGACTTGAACCCGGGTCAGCCTCATGCAGAAGGGGCCGTGAGAATCTGCTCACAGTATTTGCGAGGGAGAAAAATGGGAGGCTAGCTCATTCACCTGCGTCATATTTTGTACACGCTAAGATCAAGCCTATAAGTCGTCCTCTTTGGACCCATATCACTGGCATCAGGTTTTAGATTCTGTGACATCAGCTTTTGAGCAATGTCATTTACAAAATTCTCTACAAGCAGCACGCTTTCCCCTTCTTCGAAATACACTTAGACATGAATAGATTTTGCCTATGCTGCGAGGAGTGTGTAAATTATGGCTGAGTCCCTTACATCCTCTCTGGGAGATCTATAATATGGAGAGAAAGAGGAGACTTCATTTGCAGCTTAAGTGAATGGCGTGTCATACTTCTCAAGAAGTTCACGGGAAGAAAAACTTCAGAGACTGAATTTTTTACTTAAAGGGCAGTCTCTTTTCACCAGACTTGTGGGTTAATTTTTCTGATATTTGGCGAACCTATTACCTCCACAGCCATCGATCACAAATAGTTACATATGTTTGCTATGATGTGATGGGGTGATGGTCAGGGGTTCCTCCTGGCTCTGCACTCAGGAATTACTCCAGGGGGTACTTAGCGGACCATATCGGATGCTGGGAATCGAACCCAGGTTGGTCGGGTGTAAGGCAAACGCCCTACCTGCTGTTCTATTGCTCTGGGCCCCCAAGCATACTTTTTCATATGGACTCCTTTAGCTGAGGGATCACTGAATTGTGTGGTCAAATAAATAGATTAAAATAAATTGTAGGGTTTTTTTTTCTCTTTTGGTTTTTGGACCATAGCCAGTGGTGATCAGGGATTTTTCTAGGTTATTATGAACAGGGATTATATTTCATGGCTCTCAGGAAACCATTTCTGGTGCTGAGATTATATCTGGGGTCACCCATCTGTAGTGCAATTACCCTCTACATTGTACACTCTCTTTCCAGCAGAGTATTGTATAAATTTAAGAAGTTTAAAAGGTTTCTCTGTGTAAGAAATTAGCAAATAATGCGTCCAACTATCTTCATGTGAACAAAAAAGAAAAAAATATACACAAGAAAAAAGAAAAAAATCTAACCAAAGACTCATCCCTCTATTCATGGCACGTCCAGCTTCTTGGCCGTGCGATACTTCAAACAACACACCCTACCCATACTCCAAGATTACCACTCCACATTTGATAGGGCCCAAAGTAGGAGGCGAAAAGTCTTAGAGGGAAATATACATTTTTTTAAAGAAACAGATGTAGAGCACACAAGGTTCCATCTTTAACGACACGTTAGTGAACTCTTATATAAGGACTTAATGGCCCCTGTTAAGATACAACAATCTCAACACTCTTTCCTCTAAGAATACTTTTTTGGAGTATTTTCAGCAGTCTTTCACAACAAGCAAGACAAAATATATTATTTTGGTTCTTGTTTGTGACTGGGCTTGGGCTTCAGGATGGAAACGTCTGCAATATGGTGGTAGGAAGGAATCATGGGGGTGGGTTGTGTGTTCGAATATTAAATGTCATCACAATTGTGAACTACTTTATAAAATAAAATATAATAATAGAAAGACCAGCCCCCTCCTGCCCAAACCACAAGGACTCACAATCAGTGTTGTAGTCTTCGGATCCTTCTGCTTTATTTCCAACTAAGGAGAACTTTTCACACTGTTCGTTGTTCCTAAAAAATAAATCAATAAAAACGTCCATGATTTGTCCTGGAACACTCCAGCGCAGATAGCTGGATGAAGAGAGTATGCCCAGACACACATGGCTGAGCTCCAAGAGGATGTCAAGTCATGTGACTTCTATGTGGAGACCTCTGCTGAGTGGATTGAGTCAGAGAGACAGAGAGGATGACATCCAGAAGGATCTCCCATAATCGTGGAAACATCGTAGGGGAATAAATGTCTCCTGTACTCAGAAACAGCATAGGGGAATCAGCCAATGCCCACAAAGGTGACAGAAACCAAGACTTGAGAACTGCTTCTCAGTAGAAAGCTGGCCACTTGGTTAGTGCACTCATCTCCCCATAGACGGAGAAGCTGGGGACTCTTATGGAAGGAAATGGACCCTGGTGAAGGGGTCTGTGTTGAATAGTTGCATGCAGGAAATCCAATCGTGGATAACTTGGTAACTTTGCAACTCATGGCAATTCCATAAATGTAGATCAAAGAGAAAAATATTGAAGTCAAAGAGGAAAGATAAAAGAGAAAAATATTGAACTCAAATAAGGATGATAATTTGTTGGCAAATAAAAATTGTTCCATAAACCTTCAACAGATGTTATATGGAACCATTCATTTATGACTGAGTATAACATCAAAAATATCATGGACAGCCCTTTAAATCCTTGTGTAACTGTTTCTAAGATATTCAGAAACGGTGACCTATGAAATGCAACAATTAATTGGCAATATCATGGTCCTTCAGTTCAGAAGAAACACTTCTCTCCTAAATATTTGTTTTTAAATCTGTCATTGACGATGCAGTGAAAACAGCTGATGACTGAATACCCTGGAAACTAAGGGCATCCCCTGTCATTCTCTCCGGTGGGCTGAACACAGAGCATTCGTTGAAGAACTTCCTCTCTGAACCAATTTCAAAGACTTGAAGTCTTCAGAGTTCAGGTATGTCACTAAACACCCTCCATAGGGAAGAGCAAGACTCAAGAGTTGTTTGTGAAGTCAAGAGACGTGTGGCTCTAGGTGCAAGGAAATGTCACTTACTTCATCCAGAAATTCAAGGAGACGGAGTCACAGTCTACGCCTTCGCAAGAGATGTCTCTCAAGAAGCCTCTAAGTTCCCCATTTTCTTGAATCTTTTCTATATTGTTGGAGGCAAGGCTAACCATACGCCACTGACCTGTGTGCTGGGAAGAAAAGTTCCAATGAAGAAAGACAGTCACACTTCTCACTATTCTCATACACTCCCATCATCAATTTTTCTTGTGCTTCATTACACGGTGGGGGAAAAATTCAGATTGTTTATCTGACGGAGCAAATTAGGGCTCTAATGCCTATGCGGTAGAATTACAGAAACAAGTATTGAAATGATAGAAACGAGAATTGTAGAGTTACAAAAAGAAGAATTGGGAACTCTCGGGTATGCTATTCTGAGGTCCTTAAAAGATTTAAAAAAAAGAAAAGTAATGTGGAGTTCATGCTCTTTTCAATCAGCTTAATCAATGGCTGAATAAATAGCAGTACTCCTACATTATTAAAAATTTTTTAAAAAATTTAACAAAGATGGTAAAAAAATATGTTCACTCACATACCATAAAAGCATCGGTGATGTTGACAAATTAACGTTGGCTTAATTTTCTTTTGACTGCGGATGAAAATATAAAGGAATTCCCTTTCTTCGAAATGGGAAGTAATAAGGTAGAGAAGGTAATAAGGTACTAAGGTAATAAGGTAATAAGGTAGGAAGTAATAAGGTAGAGAGATGGAAAAAATTGATTGTGATCTGTGGATCAATATGTATATCAAGTGTTCAGCACTTAGACTAGAGAGATAGTACAGTGGGTAGGGCGCTTGTCTTGTACTGGAATGCAATTGGTTCAACCCTGGCATCCCAGATGGTACCCGACTACCACCAACAGTGAGTCATTAGCTCAGAGCCAAGACCAAACCCTGAGCCTGCCAGGTGTGCCTACAACAATAACAACAAAATTACAAAATACCTTACAAACTAGAGTGAGGAATGCATACACACAAACATACACACACACACGCGCACACACACACACACACATCCATTCTTTCCTGGTACCTCGTGTTTCAAGTTGGCAGAAGCCACAGCAACGAACAGGGCCAGCAGTACAAATTTCATCTTGCCGATGTCTTAGAGTCCTTCTTCCAGAGAAGTGGAAACTGCAGGATGAAGATACTCCAAATGTGTTGGGCTTTTTATAGCACTGCTCTGTGGACCCAGGTACAGGACCGAACAAAGGTCGGTGGTGATCAGTCACGGATGTTTACTCATATGGAAACATCCGGTTGGTTTTCAAGACAGCTGTCAAGTAGTAATGAGATTTCTTTTTAAAGGAGTTTAAGTTGGAGTGGAGAGTTGACCTTTAGATTGCAGGCAACCATAGGACAGATGGACATTCACATTTTTCAAGGGCGGTGATCCTCATTTTTTTTTAGATCATCCTGAGTTCAACCTGGGCTGAATCCTCCAAGATTGGTATTCCTGCTCTGACCCTAGATTGCGTGGCATACATAGAGCTAACCGCATTTTCCAAAAGCAATATCTTTTCATAATTGGATTTCAGTCCTACAATAGTCCAGGACTCATCCCTCACCAGTGTATATTTCCCACTAATGTCCCCAGTTTCCCCACATAATCCCCCAACCTCCCACCCCTGACCCCTGCCACCATCTATGGGACGCACTTCCCTTCTTGCTCTCTCTCTTCATTACTTTTTATGCATTATGGTTTGCAATACAGGTGCTAAGAGGTCATGATGTTTGTTCCGGGTATTCAGTATTTTTTCAGGACAGTAAAATTTTCAACTGTATTTGGGGTGTGGATGTAACTGCCAAGGCCCCCAGATGTACAGGGAGGTAGAGGTAGGTACCCCATCCCAACCCCAAGAAAGCCTGGAGATTTCAGTCACAAAACCCACACACCAAACTTTTCAGCAGATTCTATCTTGGTGACTTATGTCCTGAGACATTGTAGTCAAGCCAGGAGTATGGCAGGCAGTTTGGATTGTGGAACCAAGTGGCTGCCGGGGGGATCTGCTTGTGGGGGGGAACCCAGGGCAACCTGTCCCTTCTTGATTTACCCCAGTCTGTTCAGCCATACATCGGTCCGAGATTAACTGTGGCTTTTGATCTCTTTCAATATCTATCTATGGGTCTCTAAAATAAGGCCCATCAATGAGCTTGTATGGCTGAGTCGGGGGTGGTTTGTGGGAATGGCTCCCACACATTTACCTTTTGGCCATTTATTCTCTTGATAAACTTGCTCCCAAGTAGTTGGGAAATGGCCAAAGGCACAGTGGCAAGCTTGGGGTGTCAGGCATTTTCATTATCCTAACCCTGAAAGAGCCCTGAATGTGGCACTTTTTAGAATCTCAGGGCTAGCACCATTACTGGTGCCTGCTAGAGGAAATCAATGAACAACAGGCTGACGCTGATCGTGACAGGAAGGCTGAAGTCACCACCAGGCTGCTGACGCACTTGCCCCGCAGGTATAGGTTGACGTGTTGGCAGGGCCATACTTTTGAAGATTTGATTTTCAAAAGGTATCAACCTGTTTTCCAACTAAAATAACATCCATCGAGTTGACCAAAGACTTGATGGGCCCCTGTACAAAGTAAACACTACAAAACTCTACTCCAGGAAATGAAAGAGGACACTAGGAAATGGAGACACATTCCCTTCTCGTGGATCAAAAGGATTAGCATCTTAAAAATGGCAATACTCCCCCAAAGATTTTGCAGATTCAATGTGGTCCTTCTAAGGGTATTCATGATATTTTTTCAAACAAATAGACAAAACTATCCTGAAATGTATATGGAACAATACAATTTGAGGGAAAAAAAAGATGGGAGTCACTCTCTTCCCTCACTTCAAACTGTACTATAAAGCAATAGTAATTAAAACACCAAGGTATTGGCATAAAGACAGACCTGCAGACTAAGGGAATAGAGTTGTATATCCTGAAACAGACGCTCAAATATATGATCGCTTAATCTTTAACAAAGGAGCAAGAAATGTGAAGTGGAGCAAGGAAAGCCTCTTCAACAAATGTTGCTGGGAAAACTGGACAAAACAAAAATAATACCTCAAACCTCTGTCTAATGCCAGCCAGAAAATCAATTCAAAATGGAATAAATACCTCAAAACCACACCTGAATCAATAGGTTACATGGAGAACGACTCTCCATGACATTGAAGCTAATGGCATCTTTATTTTTGTTGTTTTTGTTGTTTCAATTTTCTTCTTTTTTTATTGAATCACTGTGATACAAAGTTACAGAGCTTTCATTTCTGAGTTTCTGTCCTACAATGAGCAAACAACCATCTCTCCACCAGGGCACATTCTCCACCACCAATGTCCACAGTATCCCCCCTCACCCTATCCCAACCCTTGCCTGTATGGCAGACAATTTCCCTCTAATCACTTTCTAGCTTTAGACCTTATGGTTTGCAATACAGTTACTGAGAGGCCATCATGTTTGGTCCCTAATGCATCTTTAAAGATCAAACACCACTGACCAAGCAAGCGGAAGCAAAGATAAATGAGACTACATTAGGTAAGACGTTTCTGTACCTCATGAGAAGTGGTGACCAAGATACAGAGACAGACAGTGGAATGGGAAATATTATTCATCCAATACCCATCAGATGAGAGTATAAGTGCCTGCCATAGAGTTGATGGTGGGAAGGGAGAGGGGTGTAAATTGGAACACTGATGGTGGAACGTATACTGTTGGAGGGATGGGTATTGTGACAGTGTATGACTGAAATCTGATCCCTAGAGCTTTGTCACTGTATCTCTTGGCAATTCAATAAAAAATTAAAATTAAAAAAAAGCAAAATTATGGGCCCCTTGCGACACACATACACACACGCACACACACACACACACACACACACACACACACACACACACCAAACCATCTAGGATTCACTGCTCCAGTCATTCTGTAATTATTATCCCAACCAAGGCAAATGCATGAGGCTTGATTTCTACTGAAACAATTTCAGTGAGGTTGTAGGTGTCTCTTCAAAAGCATTCCCCCAAAATCATTGCATATTACAGAGAATGTTGCAGTGAGATTTTTGTTTTGAAGACGAGAGGGATAAAGGTGCCTGTGAAATGCTGACTTTTCTACTCCCCTCAAAGGCACTGCAGATACAGTCCTGGGCGCAGTTATTATTTTCCATAAAGGAAATCTGATGAAATGCCGACCTTCCATCGCCCGTGGACCAGTTCCAATAGATCATGCACGTTCACCTTCTTTACCTTCTGACATCTCTTGTAAAAGCTAGGTGAATGGGGCTTTCAGAACAACACAAAAAAAACACGGTGATTTAGACCGAGGAGAATGTCATGGGAATAAAGATTGAAAAGAAATTATATCCCAATCCATAGGTAACTGAGGAATGACCCATGGAGGTGTACACACTTCACCAACATCTATAATTCTTGTAGAGATGCTACTCAGGAATAAACAGGCAAAATGGTAGCACACGGATTTTATTTTTCCATTTTTTTTACTGAAGATATATATTTTTTTATTACTTAATTTATTTTTTTAATAGTGAGACATCATGAGGTACAGTTGCAGACTTACATATTTTTGTGCTTGGGTTTCAATTATACAATGATCAAACACCCATCCCTCCACCAGTGCGCATTTCCCACCACCACGGGTCCCAGCATCCCCTCCCCCCCAGCCCCCATCCCATCTTGCCTCTGTGGCAGGGCATTTCCCTCTCTCTCCTTTTGAGTGCTGTGGTTTGCAAAAGAGGCATTAAGTGGCAATCATGTTTGGTCGATAGTCTACTTTCAGCATGCTTCTCCCATCCTGGGCGGATCCTCCCAACACCCTCTATTTGGTGTTCCCTTCTCTTTCTGAGCTCCCTTTTCCCCTAACATGTGTGGTTGTCCTCCGGGTCATTGAGTAAAATTCCTGGTACTAATCTCTGCCATACTTGGGTGTTAGTTTCCTATTTTGTTACTCTATGTTCCCCAGATGAATGCAATCTTTCTACGTCTATCCCTTTCTTTCTGAGTCATTTCGCTGAACATGATACTTTCCATGTAGCACCACCTGTATGTAAATTTCATGACTTCATCTTTTCTAACAGCTACATAGTACTCCATTGTGTAAATGTACCAAAGTTTCTTTAACCAGTCATCTGTTCTCGGGCACTCAGGTTTTTTCCAGATTCTGGCTATTGTAAAGAGTGCTGCAATAAACAGACAATTGCAGATGTCACTTCGGCTATACTTTTTTGCCTCTCTGGGATATATTCACAGGAGTAGTATTGCTGGGTCAAATGGCAGCTCAATTTCTAGTTTTTTGAGAATCATCCATACTGTTTTCCAAAAGGGGTGAACCAGTTGGCATTCCCACCAACAGTGAAGGAGGGATTAATTTCAAGGATATACAAAATACTGGTTCAACTCCACAAAAAGAAAACATTCAATCCCATCAAAAAATGGGGAGATGAAATGAATAGAAACTTTGACAAAGAAGAAATCCGAATGGCTAAAAGACACATGAGAAAATGTTCCACATAATTAATCATCAGGGATATGCAGATTAAAAGCACAATGAGATATCACCTCACACCACAGAGACTGGCCCATATCCACAAGAACAAAAGCAACCGGTGCTGGCTCAGATGTGGTGAGAAAGGGACACTCCTTCACTGTTGGTGGGAATGCCGACTGGTTCAGCCCTTTTGGAAAACAGTATTTTTTTATTTTCTTAATGAATCACCATGAGATACAGTCACAGGCTTACAAAGTTTTGTGCTTACGTTTCAGTCATACAATGATCAAGTACCCATCCCTCCACCAGTGCCAATTCTCCACCACCAATGTTCTCAATATCCCTCCCACCACCAACACCCCTTTTGATTCCTATCCCCCGCCTCTGTGGCAGGACATTCCCTCTTACTCTTTCTCTCCTTTTGGGTGTTACATCATTTGTTTTTAAGTATAATTTCATCTTCTTCAGTGCCACCCTCGAGAACATCATGCGACTACTGGAATGGGAAGAAATGGGAGTGAAGATAGATGGTCGGCAACCACACCACCTCCGCTTTGCTGATGGCATTGTTTTAATAACACCAAACATCAGCCAAGTGGCACAAATGCTGGCCGACTTTGACCGTGAGTGTGGAAAGGTAGGACTACAGCTGAATCTTACGAAGACAATGTTTATGAGAAACAGCCTCGTTTCTGACGCCCCATTCGCTCTCAATGGAACGACCATCTCCGAATGCAACAGCTATGTGTACCTAGGTCGAGAGGTCAACATGACAAATAACCTGGCACCCGAGCTGCGCAGGAGGAAGAGAGCGGCTTGGAACGCCTTCAAGAACGTCGAAGAAATCGCTAAGAGGACGAAGAACCTCCGGCTCCGGGCACATCTCTTTGATTCCACTGTTCTTCATGCATTAACATATGCCTCAGAGACCTGGGCCCTACGCAAACAAGATGAGAATGCTATTGGGGTCTCCCAAAGAGGAATTGAAAGAGCTATGCTTGGAATATCACGTTTCACTCAAATGAGAGAAAGAATCCGGAGTTCCGACCTCCGTCGACGGTCAAGAATCAGGGACGCTGTCTCGTTTGCCAAGGTGTCGAAAATCAGATGGGCTGGTCACGTAATGAGATTTAAAGATGACTGCTGGACTAGAGCTGTTACCGACTGAATTCCATGGGATGTCAAAAGACCGCGTGGCCGCCCACCTACCAGATGGTGAGACTTCTTCATCAAGATCAGGAACGATAGGTTTGAGGCTCTTCATGTTCCCAGAGCGAACAGATGCCATTGGGCTACACTAGCACACGACAGGGACAAATGGAGACGTTACTAGCGCCTGCTCGAGCAAATCGATGACTAACTGGAAGGTAAGTGATTAAGTGATAATTTCCTCTCTTATTTTTGCACTTTTTTATATTTCATTTCCATGAAGTATTTCACGATCGTTCATTGCAGATCATAGTCAAACACCAATCCCACCACCAAGTACCCTCTCACCAAAGTAAGAGGGAAGTGAGCACAGAGATTTTTGACTTACTTGAACTTTCACTGCATGACCCAGTGTCATTGTTCTTGTATGGTGACAAGGCCATGAGGGACACCCTGAGAGTGGATCAGATATGTACACACAAAAAACATGTGCATTTTGGAAGGCTGTTTCTTTGCATGTAGAAGAAAGGATGCGTTCAAATCGCCACAAAGACATTTGCATTTTGGAAGGCTGTTCCGTTCCATATAGAAGAATGTTTGCATCCACATCGCCACAAATATCCCCGCTGCATTCGCTAAGAGCTGCCTTAGAAAGACAGGTGTTTGGGATCGCAACGATCCTGCTTTTGATTTGAAAGTAAATCAAGATAAAGATGAAACGATGGAGAGACTTTATAATCGCTTTACAACAGGTGCTTGTGTGAATCAAAGTAACATGGATTCATTAAACTTGGGATGGACTTTAATTCCTGAAGTGGTTTTAAATCATTGTGAAACGTCGTCATCTACTGAAGACATTTATAGACTTAGCTAATTCCTTGGACTTGAACGATAGTCATCATCAAATGGGCATCGAATTCTATCATTTATCCTGTGGTCCACAAGGATATTATAGGTTTAGATAATTTCGGTGTTTGTGCCTTGTCATTATTTAAATAATAATATACTTGAAGGGCCCAGAGACGTGCCATCACATGGCCTATCCAGGTTTGATTTCCAGTACCCCATTTGATTCCTGGGGCCAGGAATGATCCCTGACCAGAGAAACAGAGTCAACTCTGGGTACCGTCAGATGTGACCCCTAAACCAAAAATTAAAAAAAAGAATATTAGTCTAATCAAGATGAGATGAGTGAACTTATCAAAAGAAAGTTAAAATTAAAATTTGGTTCATTGAATGATTACAGGGATGTGGTTACAGTAGTGTCAAAATTTATGGCTCTCTTCAAAAACATTAGTGAGCCCCATCAACACCAGTGGGAAATTTATAAAGATGGGTAAAGTAAAACCAACTCCTTTTATCAGCCTGATAGTGCTGGTAGAATGGTAATTTTCCCAAGTGAAAGACCTCAAAAAAGTTTTTTTTGCTTTCACCCGTACCAGACAGGTACTAACACGTTATCATGTATGTCCCTTTATTGAGTTTCCGCATTCAGTTCTTGTACAGTGTGGTCATTTCCAACTCTCGTTGTCACAGTGGCCCCTTCTCTATCCAAACTGCCTTATCCCCTCCATCACCTGTGGCCAACTTCCAACCTTGGACCAGCCCTCCTGACTCTTTTGTTCCCTCCATATTTGGGTATTATTCTCACACTCTGGTTTTTACATCCCACCAATGAGTGCAGCCCTTCGATGTCTGTCCCCCTCCCTCAGACTCCTTTCACTCAGCATGAGACGCTCTGTGTTCATCCATTGAAGAAGCTTGATAGCAAATCTCTTGGTTTGTCTCAGGGGAAACTGCCCACACATCTCTTGATGGCGTTTAGTTAAGGAAGTAGAGGTCGCCTACCAGTGAACTTTGCAATCATGCTATTGGACATTCTGTCCTTATGCAAACAGACCCTTGGTTTATGCACATGCCTATTAAAATTTTTTTTCTTTTTGGATAAACCTGGCGATGCTCAGGGGTTCCTCCTGGATCATGCACTCAGGAATCACTCCTTCTACAGAGGGACTGTATAAGATATGTCCAGTCTTAGGTTACAATGCTGTCATGATTTATAACATCTCTTAAATTTCAGCCACTTTTCTACTTTTAGTGAGAAACCTGTCATGCAAAAACGAACTGTCAATTCCAGGAAGAGCTTTAAATAAAAATGTTCTTGATTTAAGTTTTTTGGGGGGTGTCACACCCAGTGATTCTCAGGGGTTGCCCCTGGCTTTTCACTCAGGAATTATTCCTGGTGGTGCTTACGGGACCACATGGGACACCGGGGATCAAACCCAGATCGGCCACATGCAAGGCAAATGCCCTAACCTCTATACTATTTCTTGGGCTCCAAGAGGAAATGTTTTGAGAGTAATAATTCCTCTAAGTTATGACATTGGCCATACCATGCCGTCTTCTATTATATCTTATCCCCCTCTCTCCTACCAGACAGTTCATGCTGTTCACGCATGCAGTGTTTGACATATGTTCTAGCATTAACTGGGAAATCAGAATAGACTTGATATATGTCTGATTAAATTAAATTCGATTAAAGCCTGATCACTTTCTCTTATCCTTCATGGGACATGCAAGGGATACCCAATCAATTAGTAATCTAATCAATATAATGAAAAGTATCATCCTCGAGATAGTTGATCTTATTTCTCCACTGACCAAGACACTTCTGAAAAGGATTCCATCTGCCTAAAGAGAACGAATCTCCTATTCGAAGGAGAGGTAATTGTCGAAATACTCCTATTCAAGCAGTTATTTTTGTGCCTTACAAATAATAGTCGTTGCATCAAACACAGCCTTGTGCATAGAATGATCAGTTTATTAATTAAGGCATCCAATGTAATACAACAACGTGTGTGAAAGGAAAGAAGAGGAAACCATGGGCTGAGCTCACGAAGACAGTAGGAAAGAAGGAATTACAATTGGATTCCGGATCTGGTTTCTGAGACGTTGCTGCGTTTGTAGAGACCAGCTGGATCTGAAGAGTTCTACAAAAATTAAAACATTAAAAGAAATTTATGTTGATTCTAAGGGTTCCATTGTGGTAAACATTTTGGGAATGAGGGAGCAGTTATAAATGTAATTTATAAGAGAATTTTTTTGGCTTTTTCGTTCACACCCAACAATGCTCATGGGTGACTCCTGGATTGTGCATTCAGGAATTCCTGCTGGCTGTGCTCGGGGGACCCTATGGGAGGCTGGGAATCAAGCCCAGCTTGGTCGTGTGCAAGGCTAATGCCCTACCAAGTATGCTATCACTCCAGACCCTGTAAAAGAAATTTTAATGCAGAATTTGTGGCATGAACCTTCATCTGTGATATTGAGTGTAAGAACTTCACTGCTATAATACGTGTGGTCGTGGATGAAGTTCTAGGAGACCTTACATCAAGAAGGAAGATAGAAACGTGTTCGTGGCTGTATGACATGGGGAACTGAACTCTGCAAGTGTGTCCCCTATTGGACTTCTTTTCTTATTTCTTGGGGGCTGATGGGTAATTGGACGTCACTTGGCTGTGCTCAGAGACCAAAAGTGGTACACAGTATATGTAACACAAGGGCTGGCACACTCCACGTAGGAGACATGAGACTTCCTTGAATGACATGGATATCTCTAGAAGAGTTCCTATGATAGCTTGCTGTCACTGAAATTCACAGGATTAAAGCATCATTCAGAGTACAATGATTCACTGTTTTTAAAAAACTGTTGTCCTCGAAACGCAGAATCCCAATTCTATGCTATAGTTCCAAGTTAGGGTGGAGCACGGTTTAATTTCGCACACATGCACGTGTCTGCATCATAGTCCTTGCCACCCCTCTCTTCAGAGGAGTCGTATCTTATTGTTTCAAGCGGAGACCCCTCCCAAAGTCACCCTAACCTCGTAAAATATCAGGAGATACCCTATCATCACTCACCGAACAGATGTCCTTATTTGCGGCAGATATCTGTGGAAGAGAATTAAGAGAGTTCAAAAGGATAGCTGATACTTTCAATATTTCTTAGCAGTATATTGATCAAAAAAATAATTTTCCCCAGAATCCAGGTGTCCAAGGGACACTAGAAAATGAAGCTTTCTTGAAGAAAAGTTCAGGATGGCCACTTTTATACCCAAGAAGTGCAAACAGTGAATTTACCTGCTGATTCGATATTCAAGATGTTTTCTTCGTTGATACCGTGTTGCTTTACCAAGTCTGTGTACACAATCTGATCTTCCTTATTGAATCTGTGGCCAGGTCTTACTGCAATGGGCAGAGAAGAAGGGAAAAAGACAGGCATTACACTGCATCCTACTCTTTAGAATGGGCCACAGTCACCCCATGCAGAAGGATAGATTTCCCCGTCTTCCCCAGGCTACGCAGGTTGTTGAATGCAACATCCCTCCCTCGCAGTACCCCTCCTCTGGGTCTCCCAACAGGTGAGTCCTTTCTGACAGAGATGTCAGGAGGATGCTAAGTGAGCACATCATCACTCCACAGTTCCCTTGAGCAAAGACTGTGGTATTTCACATAGCTACCCGAAGACGCCCTGAAAATATCAAGTCCTGAATAGATCTTACTCAATTTTTGACCAGGTTGCTCGTACGTCTAAAAGACCGAACACAGTGATACTCTAGGCTGGCCTGGTGCGGTTTTGCAGCTGAAAGGTCTCTGTCACAGATTTTGTTTTTCCTTGGGTGCACTAATGCCAATGCTTTGCGTTCCAAGTCTTAAACTATTTTACCTAAGGGTCATATTTCATTCTTCTGTTTAAGGGTAGGGGGGAGGTTCGATTTGCCATAAGAACACTGTAGCACTGTGCTCCCATCGTTCGTCGATTTGCTCAATGGGCCACCAGTCCCATCTTCAGGGCGAGACTTGTGACTGTTTTGTGCATATATCTAAAATGCCACGGGGTGCTGGCCAGGCTCTGCCAAGAGGGCGGGATCCTCTTGTTAGCTTGCCGGGCTCTCCGAGATGATAGAGAAATGGAACCTGGATCAGCTCCGTGCAAGGCAAACGCCCTACCCGCTGTGCTTTGTAGGGCTAAATATATCGTAACTCCAGGATATGTTTATCTGCTGAAATCAAAACTTGATTTTCCCGGATGAGAGATATATTGGACTGGAGAGTGCATTCTGAGCTGCTATGAGTGGAACTCCAGGTCTCCAGAATATGTGGGACTGATATTTTTTCTCAATTCAATGCAAGTGTGTCTTGTTTCCTTAATAAAGTCTACATGTGAAAACATTCACTTATTCTGCTCAGAAGGAGAAGCATACCGGCAGCATGGACCACATCTGTGACGAGTCCATTTACATCGGTGTTCTGGAAGCAGAAGACCAACAGGTTCTTGGATTGATGGCAAAAGGTGAAGACATTTTGTCCTGAGACTGTGGAAGAGAGGGGGAAAAATCAGAAATCAGGAGGAGTCAAATATTTTCTTATTTATCTTCTCGTGCTGGAAGGAGGAGGGACCTTGGGTGTGAGTTCGATGATCCCAACGTCTTTAATAGCTTCAAGAATGACAATATTGGCTTCATAAAAAGTGCTCAGCGTGGGAAAGTAGAAGTTCTACTTGGAAGGAGAGGAGAAAGGACAAAGAATTCCCTTGGATAGGACTCACTTAACTAAGGCTCGTCCGCTGTGGTTTTAATAGGAAATTGGAATCTTTGTGTTCCAAAGAATGCGGCTAATTTAAAGACCAGGGATGGTTGTTTGGCCGTGTGGAAATGGAAATTGGGCTCTTTGTATTTTTCTTTCCTTCTTTGGGTCACACCCACTGATCGGGTGATGGGAAGGGGTTTCTCATGGTTCTTCTCTTAGGAATTTCATCTGGAGGTGCTCGGGGACCCGACGGGATGCTGGGAATTGAACCCGGGTCGACCGCATGCAAGGCAAATGCCCTACCTAATGTGCTATCACTCCAGCCCCTGTATTTTTTTATCTGCAGAGAAAACAAGAATCCAGCAGATCCTTTTCTCATTATTTCCCTTAGGTACTGTCCATGATCTGATCCTCCAGGTGACCCTAAGTTCTGGGCAGAATTTAGGATGGACTGTTGGTAATTCCCTGTTCATCAGAAAGAGCCTGAGTACTTGCAGGAAGACAAGAATGTAGAAGGGGCCGTCAGAATCTGTTCACTATAGTGGTTAGGGGGAAAAGTGGGAGGCTGTCTCATTCCCCTGCGTCTTATTTTGTACACGCTAAGATCAAGCCTTTAAGTCGTCATCTTTGGACCCATATCACTGGCATAAGGTTTTAGATTCTGTGACATCATCTTCTGAGCAATGTCATTTACCAAATTCTCCACAAGCAGAATGCTTTCCCCATCTTCAAAATACATCTAGACATGAATAGATTTTGCCAATGCTGCGATGAGTGTGTAAATTATAGCTGAGTTCCTTACATCTTCTCTGGGGGACCTATAATATGTAGTGAAAGAGGAGACTTCATTTGCAGCTTAAGTGAATGGCATATCATACTTCTCAAGAAGTTCACGGGAAGAATAACTTTAGAGACTGAATTGTTTACTTAAAGGCAGTCTCATTTTGCAAGACTTGTGGGTTAAATTTTCTGATATTGGGCGAACCCTTTACCTCCACAGCCATCGCTCACAAATACTTAGGTATGTTTGCTATGGTGTCATGGCGTGGTGGTCAGCGGTTCCTCCTGGCTCTGCACTCAAGAATTACTCCAGGGGATGCTTGGGGGACCATATCGTAATCTGGATTTCGATCCCAGTTCTGTCGGGTGCCAGGCAAAAGCCCTACCCTGTGTGCTATTGCTTCGGTACCCAAAGCATACTTTTTCGTATGGAATTCTTTAACTGGGGGATCACTGAATTGTGTGGTCAAATAAATTGATTAAAATAAATTGTGGGTTTTATTTTCAATTTTGGTTTTTTGGACCATAGCCAGTGGTGATTGGGGCTTTTTCTAGGTTCTGATGAACAGGGATTATAGGTCATGGCTCTCAAGGGACCATTTCTGGTGCTGAGATTAGATCTGGGGTCACGCATCTGTAGGGCAAGCACCCTCTACATTGTACACTCTCTGTCAAGCACAGTATTGCATCAATTTAAGAAGTTTGAGAGGTTTCTCTGTGTAACAAATGAGCGAATAATGCGTCCAACTATCGTCATGTGAAGAAAAAGGAAGAAATCTAACTAAAAAACTGGAAATAAAAGACTAACTAAAGACTAATTCCTCTATTCATGGCACGTCCAGGTTCTTGGCTGTGCGATACTTCAAAACCACACACCCTACCCATTCTCCAAGATTACCGCAGCACATTTGATAGAGCTCAAGGTAGGAGGCAAACAATCTTAGATGGAAATATACATTGAAAAAAAGAAAACAGATATAGAGCACACAAGATTCCACCTTTAACGACACGTTAGTAAACTCTTATAGAAGAACTTAATGATCCTTCTTGACATACAACAATCTCCACACTCTTTCCTCTAAGTATAATTTTTTGGAAACAGTTTCAGTGGTCTTTCACAACAAGCAAGACAAAATATATTATTTTGGTTCTTGTTTGGGACAGGCCTTGGACTTCAGGATGGAAAAGATTGCAATATGGTGGAAGGATAGTGTGATGGAGGTGAGATGGGTGTTCGAATATTAAACGTCATCACATATCGTGAACTACATTATAAAATAAAATAAGAAGAAGAAGAAGAAGAAGAAGAAGAAGAAGAAGAAGAAGAAGAAGAAGAAGAAGAAGAAGAAGAAAAACACCAGCCCCCTCCTGCCCAAAGCACAAAGACTCACATTCAGCGTTGTAGTCTTCGGAACCTTGAATTTTATTTCCAACTACGGAGAACTTTTGACACTGTCCGTTATTCCTGAAACATAAATCAATAAAATTTTCCGTGATTTGTCACGGAACGCTCCAACGCAGATGGCTGGATGAAGAGAGTACGACCCAGACAGCTATGGCTGAGTTCCAAGAGGATGTCAAGTCATCTGACTGACTTCTATGTGGAGATCTCTGCTGAGTGGATTGAGTCACAGAGAGAGAGAGATAGAGAGAGAGAGAGAGAGAGAGAGAGAGAGAGAGAGAGAGAGACATAGAGAGAAAGATATCCAGAAGGATTTCTCAAATGTTCGTGGAAACATTATAGGGGAATAAATGTATCCTGTAGTCTGAAACATCACAGGGGAATCAACCAATGCCTACAAAGGTGACAGAAACCAAGACTTGAGAACTGCTTCCCAGTAGGAATCTGGCCACTTGGTTAGGTGGTCACTCGTCTCCCCATAGATGGAGTAACTGAGATTCTTGTGGAAGGAAATGGTCCCTGGTGAAGGGACTGGTGTCGAATTCTTGCACGAAAAAACCCCAATTGTGGATAACATAATATATTTATGCAGTGTTTTGACAGTGTGTGGTCTCACTTCAGATTGGTTTTCACTGAAGTATCTATCCCAATTCGAGTATTTCCAATGACCCATCCAGCAGACACTGAATTCATGATCATCTTTAATCAAAACTCCTTTCACGCGAACTTTTTTCTCTGATCTTGGATTCTACACCTCAATAACTCAGTTGGTATTTGCTAACGAAGCATCACACTTTCTGAGGACTATCTCTCAGATCATGTCTATGGTTTAGATTATCAATATTTTACCTATCACTCATCTTCTGTGGTAATCGTTAACCAAAACAAAACCAAAGCAAACCAAAAACAAAAACCACTGATATTTCAATGGTCAAGATCAGGAATCTTTTTTGTCATTTTCTGATTGTCATATTTTATAGGCAAATAAAAATTGTTCCATAAACATTCAACAGATGTTATGTGGAACCATTCACTGATGACAGAGTCTAACATGAAAAATATCATGGACATCCCTTTACATACACGTGTAACTGTTTCTGAGATATTCAGAAATGGTGACCTATGAAATGCAGAAGGATTGGCATATCATGGTCCTTCATTTCACAAGGAAAACTTCTTTCCTGTCTTTTTAAAAAATTCTGTCATTGACGATGCAGTGAAAACAGCTGATGAGTGAAAACCCTGGAAACTAAAGGCATCCCCTAACATTCTCTGCGGTGCGCTGGACGCAGAGCATTCGTTGAAGAACGTCCTCTCTGAACCAGTTCAAAAACTCAAAGTCTTCAGAGTTCAGATATATCACGAAACACCCTCCATATGGAAGAGCAAGACTCAACAGTTGTTTGTGAAGTCAAGAGATGTGTGGCTCTAGGTGCAGGGAAATGTCACTTACTTCATCCAGAAATTTAAGGTGGCGGAGGCACAATCTACACCTTCGCAGATGATGTCTGTAAAGAAGCCTCTCAGTTCCCCATTTTCTTGAATCTTCTCTATGTTGTTGGCGGCGGTGCGAACCGAACGCCACTGACGTGTGTGCTGGGAAGAAAAGTTGCAGTGAAGAAGGACAGTCACACTTCTCACTTTTCTCCTACACTCCCATCATCCATTTATCCTGTGCTTCACTAAACGTTGGGAAACAAAATGCAGACTGATTAACTGACCAAGCAAAGTAGGGCTCTAATGCTTCTGGGGTAGAATTACAGAAACAAGAATTGATATGGTAGAAACAAGAATGGTAGAGTTATAAAATCAAGAATTGGGAACTCTCGGGTATGCAATTCTGAGCTCCTTAAAATAGTAAATAAAAAAAAGAAAAGTAATATGGAGCTCATGCTCTTTTCAATCAGCTGAACAATGGCTGAATAAATAGCAGTACTCCTACATTATTAAAAATTCTTTAAAAATTTTAACAAATATAGTAAAAAAATGTTCACTCATATACCTTGAAAATATCGGTGATGTTGGCAAATTAACATTGGCTTACTTTTATTTGACTGCGGATGAAAATACAAAGGAATTCCCCTTCTTCGAGATGGGAAGGAATAAGGTAGCGAGAATGTAGACATTGTTTGATTGTGATCAGATCATCAGATCAATATGTATATCAAGTGTTCAGCACTGAGACTAGAGAGATGGTGCAGTGGGCGGCGCTTGTCTTGTACTGGAATGCCCTTGGTTCTACCCTGGCATCCCAGATGGTACCCATGTTCCACCAACAGTGAGTCATCAGCTCAGAACAAGGACAAAGCTCTGAGCACTGCCAGGTTGTCCACAAAAACAACAACAAAATTACAAAATACCTTACAAACTAGAGTGAGGAATGCATACACACAAACACACAGACACACACACACAGATCAGTTCTTCCCTGGTACCTTCTGTTGCATGTTGGCAGAAGCCACAGCCACGAACAGAGCCAGGAGTACGAATTTCATCTTGCCGATGTCTTAGGCTCCTTCTTCCAGAGAAGTGGAAAGTGCAGGATGAAGACACTCCAGATGTGTTGGGCTTTTTATAGCACTACTCTGTGGACCCAGGCACAGGACCGACCAATGGTCCGCGGTGATCAGTCACAGATGCTTACGCATATGGAAACATCCGGTTGGTTTTCAAGACAGCTGTCAAGCAATAATGAGATTTGTTTTTAGAGGAGCTTAAGTTGGAGTGGACAGTTGACCTTTCAGTTGCAGGAAACATTAGGACAGACAGACGTTCACGGCTTTCAAGGGCAGTGACACTCATTTTCCTTTTCATTATCCTGAGCTCCACCCGGGCTCAACACTCCAAGATTGGTATTCCTACTCTGACCCTAGTTTGCATGGAATACATAGAGTTAACCACATTTTTCAAAAGCAAAATCTGCTTTAATGCAAATAATTTGTGTATCCATACCCTCATAGAACGATATGAGTTTTATTTATTTATAGCAAAATCTGCCTAATTAAATATAGCAAACTATTTCACAGGATAACAAGAACAACAAAATGTTTCCCATATCCTTTGAGAGAGATTTGATGATTCTCTCTTAAATTCACCCCTCAAATTTCATTTCAGAATATGTGGACCAGGAACTTCCCCACAATGATTCTCACTCATGTCTCAGTCGTGATATTCAGATTTCTGTCCGTATGTTTGGGGGTGTTTAATCTCTACCTTCAGTTCGTGGATTGGTTTGTATGGAGATTACACACAATTTTGTTACAGTTTTATTTATTCTTCAAGTTAGATGTTATTGAAGCATCACTGTTTGCAGAAGCATAGGACTTCTACCTTTGCAACTCTGCTATACAAAGATCTATGGTCTTTTGGAACCAGTTGTACACAGGAGAAAGCGTTGGGTTTACAATCATGAGGCAATCGTAAAATCAAGCCCTGTCTAAAATTGACGACCAGGACTAGACATGCTAACGCTGGCAAAACACATATTTTGCTATTCACAAGGAACATCCATTGACTTGAACAAAGAATTGATTGATCCCGGTACAAAGAAAACTCTACAAAATTTTACTTAAGGAAATGAAAGGGGACGCTAGGAAATAGAGACACATCCCATGCTCGTGGATCAAAATGATTAGCTTCTTAAAAATTTAAATACTTTCTCAAATATTTTACAGATTCAATGTGATCCCTCGTAGGGTACTCATAAGCTTTTTCAAACACATAGATAAACCAATCCTGAAATGTATATGCAACAATACAACTTGGGGCAACAAAAAAGGGGGGGATTCACTCTCTTCTCTAACTTCAAACTGTAATACAAAGCAGTAGTCATTAAAACAGCATGGTATTGGCATGAAGACAGACCTGCAGACCAACGGAATATAGTTGAGTATCCTGAAACAGACGCTCAAATATATGATAGCTTAATCTTTAACAAAGGAGTAAGAAATGTGAAGTGGAGCAGGGAAATCCTCTTCAACAAATGTTGCGTGGAAAACTGGACAATGCAAGAATAAGAACTCAAACCTCTATCTAATTCCAGCCAGAAGTCACTTCAAAATGGATTAAAGACCTCAATACCAGACTGAAATCCTAAGTAAATGGAAAACAACCCTCCATGACATTGAAGCTAACAACATCTTTATTTTGTTGTAGATGTTCCAACTTTATTCTTTTTTTTATTGAATCACTGTGGGATAAAGTTACAAAGCTTTCAAGTTTGAGTCTCAGTCCGCCAATGAGCAAACACCCATCCCTTCACCAGGGCACATTCTCCACCACCAATATCCCCAGAGTTCGCCCTCACCCTATCCCAACTGCTGCCTGCATGGCAGACAATTCCCTCTTAATGTCTCTCTAGGTTGAGGTCTTATGGTTTGCAATACAGATACTGAGAGGCCACTATGTTTGGTCCCTAAAGGCATCTTTAAAGATCAAACACCACTGACCAAGCACGTGGAAGCAAAGATAAATGAGACTACATTAGGTAAGACGTTTCTGCACCTCAAGAGAAGTGGTGACCAAGATACGGACCCAGACAGTGGAATGAGAAAAATTTGTTACCTGTTACCCATGAAATGAGAGTATAAGTGCCTGCCATTGAGGTGATGGTGGGAAGGAAGGGAGATTTCAAGAGGAACACTGATGGTGGAAAGGTACATGTTTGAGGGATGGGTATTCAGACACTGTATGACTGAAACCTGATCGCTAGAGCTTTGTCACTGTATCTCTTGGCGATTCTATTAAAAAATTGAATTTAAAAAACGGCAAAATTATGGGTTCCTTGTGACACACACACACACACACACACACACACACACACAAGCATCTACGATCCAATGCTCCTGTGAGTCTCTAATTATTATCCCAACGCAGGCAAATGCATGAAACTTGGGTTCAACTGAAACAATTTCAATGAGGTTGTAGGTGTCGCTTCAGAATCAGTCCCCCAATCGAACTCAGGTCGGCCACGTTGACTGCATGCAAGGCAAACGCCCTACCACTGTGCTATCGTTTTACATTACTTGTTTTAAAAAAATTAAACTGGATGCCCAAAGGTAGACCATTAGAAAGCTTTTCATAACTGGGTTCCAGTCATACAAAGGTCCATCCCTTCACCAGTGCACATTTCCCACCACCTATGTCTCCAATTTCCCCACCATAATCCCCCAAACCCCCAACGCTGACCCCCAGCCTCCCTCTATGGGACACACTTCCCCTTTTCCTCTGTCTCTTTGTTACCTTTTATGCATTAAGGTTTGCAGTACAGTTGATAAGAGGTCATGATGTTTGTTCAGGGCATTCTGTATTTTTTCAGGATGGAAAATTGTCAACTGGCTTTGGGGTGTGGATGGTACTGCCGAAGTACCCAGAAGTACAGGGAGATGGAGGTAGGTACCACATCCTGACCTTAAGAAAGCCTGGAGATTTCAGTCACAAAACCCACACACCAAACTTCTGAGCAGATTCTATCTTGGTGAGTTTTGTCCTGAGACCATGGAGTCAAGCCAGGGCTATGGCAAGGATTTTGGATTGTGGAACCAAGTGGCTGCCGGGAAATCTGCTTGGGAGGGGGGTATCCAGGGCGACCTGCCCCTCTCTATTTACCCCGGTCTGTTCAGCCATGAACAGGTCTGAGATGAACTGTGGCTTTTGATCTCTTTCAAGATCTATCTATGGGTCTCAGAAATAAGGACAATCAATGAGCTTGTATAGCTGAGCCTGAGACGTTTTTTGGGAATGGCTCCCACTCATCTAACTTTTGGCCATTGAATCTCTTTATAAACTTGGTCCCAAGTTGTTGGGATCTGGCCAAAGGCACAGTGGCAATTTTGGTGTGTCAGGAAGTCTCATTCTCCTAACCCTGAAAGAGTCTTGAAGGTGGAACTTTTTGGAATGTCAGGGCTAGCTCGAAGAAGACATTGCTGGTGCCTGCTCGAGGCAATTAACGTACAACAGGCTGATGGTGATCGTGACAGGAAGTCTGAAGGCACCATCAGGCTGCTGACGCACTTGCCACACAGGTACAGGTTGACCTGTTGGCAGTGCCATACTCCCGAGGATTTGATTTTCAAAATGTATCAACTTGTTTTCCAAGTAAAATAATATCCGTCGACTTGAACAAAGACTTGATGGATCCCTGCATAATGTAAACACTATAATACTCAACTTCAGGAAGTGAAAGAGGACACAAGGAAATGGAGACACATCCCTGCTCATGGATCCAAACGATTAGCACCTTCAAAATGACAATACTCCCCCAATTATTTTACAGCTAGAAAATCATTTAAAAATGGATTAAAAACCTCAATTTCAGACCTGAGTCCATAAGGTACATGGAGAACAAACCTCCATGACATTGAAGACAAAGGCATCTATATTTTGTTGTTCTTGTTTTAATTTTATTCTTTTCTTTATTGAATCACGGTGAGATACAGTACAAAGCTTTCATTTTTAGTTTCAGTCCTACAATGAGCCAACTCCCATCCCTCCACCAGTGCACATTCTCCACCACCAATGTCCCCAGAATTCCGCCTCTCCCTATGCCAACCTCTGCCTGCATGGCAGAAAATTTCCCTTTTAATCTCTCTCTAGTTTTAGGCATTGTGATTTGCCATACAGATAGTGAGAGGCCACTATGTTTGGTCCCTAAAGGCATCTTTAAAGATGGAAAAACCACTGAGCAAGCAAGCAGAAGCAAAGATAAATGAGACTACATTAGGTAAGACGTTTGTGTACCTGAAGAGAACTGGTGACCAAGATACGGAGACAACCAGTGCAATGGGAAAAATTATTTACCCAATACCCATCAGATGAGAGTACAAGTGCCTGCCATAGAGGTGATGGTGGTAAGGAAGAGGATTGGAAAGAGGAACACTGATGGTGGAAACGTACACTCTTGGAGGGATGGGTATTGTGACAGTGTATGACTGAACCTGATCCCTAGAGCTTTGTCACTGTATCTCTTGGTGATTCGATTAAAAAATTAAGTTTTTTTTTAATTTTCACTAGTGAGACACCATGAGGTACCGTTGTAGAATTATAAATTTTTGTGCTTGGGTTTCAATTATACAATGATCAAATGACCAAATACCCATCTCTCCACCAGTGCCCATTTCCCACAACCACAGACCCCAGTATCCCAGTATCCCTCCCACACCCCTTACCCCCCATCCAACCCTTCCTCTGTGGCAGGACATTCCCTTTTGTTCTCTCTCCTATTGGGTTCTGTGGATTGCCAAAGAGGCAATCGGTGGCAAAAAAGTCTGCTTAGAGGAAAGAGTGTGGAGATTGTTGCATCTCAACAGGGATCATTAAGTCCTTCTATAAGAGTTCACTAACGTGTCGTTAAAGGTGGAATCTGGTGTGCTCTATATCTGTTTTTTTTAAATGTATATTTACATCTAAGATTGTTTGCCTCGTACATTGAGCCCTATCATTTGCGCTGTGGTAATCTTGGAGTATGGGTAGGGTGTGTGGTTTTGAAGTATTGCAT